TTTTTTATTTTTTTTTTTTTTTTTTTTTTTGGAATTTCTTTCATAAACTTACTTTTCGTGGAAGAATATTTGTACTTACTTTCCAAAAGGCACTTTTACATTTTACCAATCTTAGCCAAACATGCTTTGAAGACAGTTATTTTGTGTTTTTTGCTCTAGTGTTACTTGATGGCAAGAATTTAATTTAGATTTCAGTATCATGGCTGACAACTTATTTTATCGACTTGATGCTCTCAAATCATACTAAGAATGAATTTGCTTTAGATATTCCCGTAGTAATGGCTAGTTTAATGTCCGTGCTCTGCAGGTATATGTCATTGGTGGAGTCAGGGACAAACAATATTACAACGATGTCTGGGTACTTGATGTTATCACATCATCCTGGATTCAACTCGACATTTGTTTGCCAAAACCTCGAGGAAGGTTTTCTCATACAGCCACTGTCACAAACTTTGGCATAGCAATTTTCGGAGGGTGAGAATTTAATAAGATGCACTTTTCATTTCTTATGTCGTCAAACGTTTAGTTTTTCTTATGCATTTTTCTCTGTTTGATGCCTTAACGTTGCAGGTGTGGAGAGGATGAGCGCCCTCTCAACGAGTTGCTTATTTTACGTATAGGAGTTGAACATTCCCGGGGCTATGTCGATTCCTCAACAAGCAGATCTTTTAGAAACTCTGACTACAAAGAAAGAAAAATGTATTTTAGAGAAGCACATAATAATTTGGTAATAGAAGATTGTAATTAAAAACATATTTTGTAAGTTCTGGTTTCTTCTAAAGGGATATGCTAATTATGTCAAATCTTTTGCAGCAGAAAAAAGCTTTTTATAGTGAAAAAGAAGATTCAGCTGTGAAGGATGCTGAAGAACTTGAAATCGTCTCAGAATGCTCTTTTCGTTTCAGTTCAGGTAGGTTTTAGCGAACAAAATAATGCTTACATCAATCTTCAATAACACGAAAAATCATGAGTTACTGAAAGTGTCTTCTGTTTCATGGAGATATGTTACATCCTAAGAGGAGGAGAATGAGTAACTCAGTGGCGCATGATATGAAATCCGAACCTGACGAGCACTGTCTTTCGTTCTCACGGAACTTGTCTCCGTCCCAATCTGATCAAGAACTGACCCTAGTTAAAAAAATAAATATTTCTTCCTCATCTTCTCAAGTTCATCCTATATATATGCATCGTATTTCTAATGTTGGCAATTCCCAGCCTAATTATGTTCCTATTAACCGAATGGATCCGCAAAGTGTCATCTCTAGGCCTTCTACTCTTCAGGATGTAAATTTATCTTCAGAACACTGTAGGAATGGAGTTCGTTCTGGTGCATGTGAAGTGCAGTGCTCAGGAACCGAATCCACATCCTCGGAGGCACGAAAATTCCAAAACTTGGTCAGTAAGACCAATTCTGCTAGAGATTCTTTAACCACCAACTCTTCTAATGTCAGTTAGTTATTGAAATATTTTGTTTGAAATTTTCATCCCTAGATTGGGGCTGAAGTTCATGGTCAAGTTGACGGCGCATTTGATTCTGGTTACCTAATGACTGCTAATGTTAATGGAATGATTTTTCGAGGAGTTCTGTTTACTCCGGTAAGCTTCCACACTTGGAACACCCCACCCCAATTCAATTCAATAATGTCAACCCTAATAATTGGAATTTTTCATCAAGGCACCTGAACTTGTGGCACAAGGTGCCATTCTTGGTCAACACCCAACATCCTTAACATGCCAAACCGTAAATGATCACACCAAAAATCACGGAACCATTCCTTATTCAAGGCATCCTCAGCAGCAAAATCAGAGCTTTGGACGAGAATCTCATCAGAGCTTTGGACTAACTCAATCTAGAAAATCGATCCCGAAAGCTGGAACTCCTTTAACGATGAGCAAAGATTCGGTGCTTAAAAGTGAACTTCAAGGTGTGGTCCTAACCCTGGGAGGTCCAGGAAGCGATGATGGCAGGTCTAAGGTACAATAACACTAAAATATAATATGAAGAATGGATATCCAAAATCATTTCCCTCATTTCTGATAGTTTTGTACATTTTTTTCATGGATAAAGTAGATGGGACTGTACTAAATAAAGGAAAAAATGAGCTAAAATCTTATCTATTGTAATGTCTAATACAGTCTAATATTACAGACTATATATGGAGTTTATGCATTTGGAAACAGCTTCCTTTTTGCCAGTTTTAGAGTTTTGAGAGTGTATTGGCTTCACTGAATTCTGAATGTAGTAGAAAACCATGAAATGAAAGCTTCTCACTACCTTATGAGTTGAGTTATTTTTATTTTCTCTTGTTTTTAAGTGAATATTGAAGGATGATTCTAAGGGAAACTCTTCTATTAGGCTGCAACAGCCATCAAAGAGATCTATGGAAGTCTGTTCTGATGCAGGAGACTGCAAATATTTAGTTGGAATGTTTTTTTGAGTAATTTTTAAGCTTTTATATGATTTGATTCGAATACGCGGCTGCTCTCTAACATTGAACAAGCTCATTTTATTTCTTCATCGAAATTAGTGTCTACATTAATTGATTCTTGAATGCTACTTGTAGTAGACTTGTAGCCAAAATCAGTTTTGCAATCGATTTCATGTCGATATATAGTACCAGAGGCGGACCCACTTGAGGCCGAGTGGGGTCGGCCACCCCCACTCGATTTTCAAATTTTTTATTTTTCTCGAGGTTTTTTTAAGTTTTTCAGGTTTTTTCTTATGATTTTTTGGTTTCGCCTCTTAATTTTTTTGGTTTCGCCCCCACTGAATTTTCATCGTGGGTCTGCTCCTGTATAGTACCTACAATAAAGTAGTTTCGGCGAATTCTTTTGAGAACATTTTGAATCATGCTCATTTACTTGTTAAATCCTATAATGTTTCCACATGTTGGACAGTTGAATTTATGCTCATTAGAATTGTCGACTTGTTTGGATATCTTACAATTTGAGTAGGGCTTTGTCTCTTATAGTGTGTATCGATGTTCTCAAATGTAAGTTAAATAAACATTTAAGTTGAGAATTAAGTGTTAACTTGATTTTTGTAGAAAAATGACTTTTTACCACAATTAGACATGAAAGTACTTATATTACATGTAGCTTTCAAGATGAAGAACGGAGTTCGGTAGTACTATAAAAAAAGATCACGTGACTATTTTTATGATGTATCAACATAGGACAATAGGTAGGTCCAATGCCCCACTGGTGATATTTATACTCCATGAATTATGCCCTTGTTTGATCCCCATTTTTTCAAGAATGTATTTTTTTTAAATTCATTTTTAACCACACATTCTTCTATAAAATATTTGTACACGAATTTTAAAAAAAAAATTTTACTTTTTAACCATACATTCTTTAAAAAATTACTATTCCGTAATTCATTTTATCCCAAAAATGGGAATCAAACAGCGGCTATGTGTCATTGCTTGGATAGGGTTAATAGGCAGGGATGTTGACAGGTGCCGTGTCTGGCTTTTTTTTTTTTTTTTTGGTTTAACTATCCAATTAAAATTTGACATGTGTTCCCTACAAATAAAATATGTTAATGATCTCGTACATGTAGCATTACTCATGAATTATATAGCCCCCGTTTGGCTTCCATTAATTTCTATTACATTACATTACATTTTTCTCTCTTTTATTTTCAACAACATAATCTTCCATAAAATAATATTACACGTAAATTGAATTTTTTTTAACCACTCATTTTTCAAAAAAAATACTATTCCATCCATTTTTAACTCTATAAAATGAGGGCCAAACGGGGGCATAGTCTATAAAATTACTTTCAAAAATTCAATTATATTAGACTTTCTTCAAACTCCCACTTGAAGTTTGAGAAGGTAATATTAGTCAATTGTCACACTTGATTAAATTGAACACTGTAGACAAGTCAAAACCTCCAAGAACTTAACTGTACTTTTCCCCCATAATTGAAGGGGTTTTGATTCCCTGCAGTCTGCTGTGTAAAGTTTCATGCACAGTTACACAGTACAAAGATTTAGTTTTGCAACTGTATATGTACTGTTTGGGGGGAGTGGGGTTAAGGAGATAAATCTCCCGTGCCTCCCGCGGGTTATGTCCTGCGGGGGGGCAGAAGGGGTCACTATCGGCCGTCCGATCAGTCATCAGTTTTGTCAATGCCCATCATCTGTCTAATCAGATCAGACAGCTCTAAGAGGCTGGTGACGTCATCCATGTCCATTGTTAATTCTTCAGAAAGAAAAGATTCCATTATTTTCTGATGGGGACCCATAAATCAGGAGCATTTATTGTGCCACGTTTCTGTTTCTTATTGAAAGCTAAGCTAGTATGGATGGTGTTTGGAAAGATGGTAAAGAGAGGGGACGAGAGAACATGAGCGGAAAATGACTAAATGAGGGGTTTTGATAAATGGACGCCCTATCAGACGGCCTGCCACGATCTCTGTCACCCTAGCAAAGCCTGAAAATGAGGGAAACAAATTGAGTTGTACTACATGCATAGAAAAGAATTTGGCAGACGACTTACAAATCACACACAATCCATAGGATGGATGGGCATAATTTTTCAATATAAAACTCAAATGGGACTTACCCCATGTGAGTTTTCTGGATTTATTCTGTAGGGAAAATTTTGTACAGATTTTTCCAAACAAATTTTTGTGCGAGGCAAAAGAAAATAGTAGGAAAATATGAGGAAATATGAGGAATATGTGATGAAAACTAAGTTTCCTGTTTTGTATCTAAGGGGGAGATGTAAATAGAAGAAAATCCCAGAGCAAAATACGAGGAAAAATTACTTTTCCTTCTTGCTTTGCGTATAAAACATAATTTTGACTATTTCTATGGCCTCTCTTTTCATATAATGCTTCTTTCTATGGTAAAAATGGTAAATTTTCATGTGAAAAATGTTAGGTTACAAAGTAATGTTTTGATTTGCTTCTTTCTATAAATGAAACAGAATTTTTTGTTCAAAATTATCCAAATTTGATTAAATTTTTTGTCTTCTCTTGCTTAAAAGACCCTCCTTATTGTCGAAAGAACCAAGTTTATTGGACTACTTATGTAGCATTTCAGCTAAGATAGATATACTTAAGTTAATATGTTCTTTCTACACTTTTTGGCCAAGCTTGAGGTGAAGGAGGAATAACTTTAAGCAGTAACTCATATGTTCAAGGTTACAATGCACTACAAACAAATGGTATCCACGACCAAAGCCGCTTTGGTCGATCATTTAAACCTGGTTATTATAGAACACTATCAACAACCAATGTAAAGGCGTAGGTCCATTAAAATTGAACTAATTTTTCTACACACTTTTTCAACCAATACTTGGTTGGAGATGTAGAGTATTAGGGACCATATATTTAATTGGTCACTAAAGGTTGGTGCGAAAAAAATATCCACAATTTTCCTACGTAAGAGAGCCCTCTAGCAATCATATAGTGGTCGCTCTTATTAGTTTTTAGTGACCATTAGTCAATTGTTCTTTGAAACAAAAACTGTGATAAATCACCTCAAAATTTTCATGTTGTGTTTAGGTCCTTGTTTAAAATCATACACTAACTTCTATATATGTTCATTTCTAGTAGAACAAATCATTCTCATTGCTCCATAAAAACCTTCTCATGGAGATCGCCATTTAGGAAACACAGTTTTAACGTTCATTTGATAAACATGCAAGTCATAAATAGAAGTGAAAGCGAATAAGATCTTAGTTGAAATTATTCTAGCTACAATGCATATGTATTAAAATAGTCCATTATTTCTAATGTTTTAAAACCTAACTCGAGCATTGATCTGAAAAAAAGGAAGAGGGTAAAGGGTCGAATAGATAACGAATCGGATACCAAATTAAATACATACATACAATATAAAATATTTTTAACAACTATACAATTTTTAATTTTAGTTTAATAATTCACAGTAAATATAAATTCGTGTTTGTTAATTAAATTTATTATCCTAATTTATTTTGTCATGTTTGATGGCCATTACAAAGAGGAATTGGGGGAAAATGAGGTTATGAATTGTAATTTTTTATAGAATGTGTGGTTAAAAAGTAGGAAAAATTTTGAATTTACATGCAAAATATTTTGTTTTATAAATGTGGTTGAAAATGAATATGAGAAATAAATAGTTATGAGATAATGGTTGTAAAACAGGAGCTTCATAATTTCAAAAACTAACAATTAATATGCCAAAAATAATTCGCCTTCTTCAAATTGAGATTGTTCGTAGTTATAGTCTTGTCGGGGACTATGATTTATTAATGAAACTAATAAAGTAAATTATTAAATGTTTAGAAGTAACGACTATTCCTTTATCCCACATCAGAGAAACAATAAATCAATGAAAAATGGATATCTCATAAAAAGGAGCATCACCTAGATCATGTTTATGGGCCTACTAATGCAATAGGTGCGCCCATCAATATATTAGAAGTATTTTGTACAAAATAAAAATAAAATAAAAAAATAAATCCAATTAATCGGGAAAATCGTGTTCAATTTTTCGATTCGTGGTTAAATCAGTCGGTTTAATGGTCTTTAATCGGCTTTTTATTATCCTGTTAATGAATTATGATCGAACTGGATTTCAGGAAAATTCAGGATTTTTTCGATTAAACTGATTGATTCGATTTTATTTTTATAATATCGATTATTTTCTTTTGTTGATATTCTTTTGCTATTAAGAGTACCATTAGAATGATACTTCTTCCTAAGTGCCCACTTACCACTAATAGGTATAGACCTAGGTGGTAAATCGACAAATTTTCAAGTATTATTTGACATAATTTAATCTAGCTCATTATTTATTGAAACTTTCCAAAAGATACAATCTCTAAAAGATGTTGATTCTTTATAGGTTCTAAGATCACCCTCGTCTTGAAAATAAGAGGAATTGCTTTTACAACATTCTTCCCATTTTCTTTGACCAAGTAAAGAGAAATAAGTTGAGAATTGATAAGAATGGCAAAGGGGCGAGTCGGGGTTGAATCGGTCAATCTTGTCTCATGTCTCGTCGAATATTTTGTCACCTTGTCCCGTCTCCATACCCGGTTAAGGTTGGGCGATTCCCCTACCCCATTTATCACTCTATTTATTTATTTTATTTTATTCTTTAATTTCTTTAATATTTTTAGTTGATAAAAATAATTACTTTTTTCTTCAAATTGTAGAAAAATCTATGTTTTCTCTAGAAACGATGATAATCCTTTTTTGTGTGATAAAAAACTTGAATTTTGAAATGGAACTTTAAATGGGATAGGTAAGAGGGCGGGGCATGATCGACAATGAGGCATGACTTTTGTGATCTCTTCTGCACACCATTTATGCATCTCTTGAAGCAATCTATGCTTGCGGTATTTTT